CAAATCCTTTGCATGACTTTATTTAGTAATCTGTGGTAATTTGTGACATACCCGCCGCGCCAACAATATTGACCGGTTGATGTTTTGTTTGGAGAAGGAAAGCCGCTTTCTCTGTCTGGTCCCTTTGTAGCGCTTAAATCTTTGAAACTACGCAACGGATTTTGATGCGGTTTTTACTTCCGTGCGAAGCCGGGGCGGGTCGCTAGCTATGTGATTGGCAGAGAATGCCTACGGCATTAAGTCCGCCTTGGTACACAATATTATTTTATTGTGTAATAAAGTTTAAATAAATAAAATATAAATAAGGCGGTACGAAGTCTCGCCAGGTCAGTTAGTCTTTCATAACTTTCAATCCGTTGGTCGTTTCGCTTTAGTTTAAAAAGATATGTGCACTATTATCGTTTATTGATTCGAATAAACGAATTCAAGAACGTTGATTTTCCTTGTTTATTTAGCTATATTGAAATTAATCGCAATTGTATAGTAGAGTCTCATTCGGTTTTACGTAGCAGGTGTCGATAGAAGTGGACTCGTAAGTTCTTGGTATCATATGAGGGTTGCGGTAGAAGTGACTCGTGTTCAGGACACCGCATTATATGGTAGCGGTAGTAAATTGACTCGTGTTCAAGGCAGCGGTAGAAGTGATCTATGTTCAGGCACCGTACGTGGTTGATTGTATGCTGACCCCCATTTGCCCATTTCTTCTTATGAATTAAAATGCCATTTCTGTATATACATTTTAATCAGCTTAACTTATATTGAAAATTTTCTGTAGATTACAAATCTGAAATCTGTATATCTCTTTTTAGCTTTACGAGATATTTGTAATTGAAATATCGCCAAAAATGAAAAAATTGATGTTTTTAGCGTTTTTTGACCTTTACCGAATGAAATTAAAATATTTTAAATTTCCAATCTTCTATAATATGAAATTTGCTTTGGGGTTGCTATCTCTTTTAGTTTGAAGATATTCGCTATCGAATGCCGATAAAAATTATTATGGGCTTTTTGTCTATTTTTTCTTATGAATTAAAATTTAATTCTTAGGATTTCTAATTTAACTGTCTTATTTATATAGAGAATTGTCCATGATAAAGACTGACGATTCGTTCCTTTCTATCTCTATTGCATTGAAGTTTTTTAATCACTATATTATGTCCTAGACTCTGACAATGTGCTAATTTTGTGTAAAAGTTGATCATTAAAGAAAATATCAATGGCCTGGAAAAAATATTATCATATATCTTGTCTTAATGGAGCAAATCACAACATCTTGTGCCTATATAATTTTTATAGTTCCTTAATAACTTACGCATTTTCGACCCTTTGATCCTGTTACAAGTATTATAAAAAAAGGCTTACAAATCGACATTATTTTTACATTTCAAAAAGGGTTTAGATAGAACCTGTATCTCGTGAACTAATACACATTTTGTGCGTTTCTAAAGATCATGTCTTTACTTCAGAGACGCTCTACATGGTAATTGACAATATGTACTGCATACAAAAAGTGGAAATTCACGAAATCATTGCACGTTTGATTATAATAGTCTAAATCTTATCACTAGATGCAATCTAAAAATCATAAAATCGAGTTATACGGCTTATTTTATATTTATTGACAAACTTGGGGACGAGAATAGTTTTAGACGATGATATCTGCAATTCGCACAACGTATTTAACGCATTTGCCCCGCGCGCCGTCTCCAGCGCCGCATCAACTTGCTGCATGCAGCGAAATCTAGTTTAGTTTAGGATCACAGGTACGTGCCTATTGCAAATTTGCGCACACCTCTTGCTTTCTTATCATACGAGTATATACTGTCCCGTCGTTGTTTGTAGTTTCTGCATGCACTATCGATGGATTGCAGCCAGTTTCGTGCCGATCGCTGTATAATCCTGTCGTGTTTTGAGAGACTTATATCGTCGGTCTGACTTCAATATTCAAATTTGTGTTATAATCGAAGATCAATCGACTAATTATTTGGTAATTTCTATGACTATAGTACTTGTTTAATGTTAGAAATGCTGAAAGTTTTTGATCGCGCTTGTTATGTATATTACTGTTTGATCGGATAGTGGATTTGATAACATTCTTCACTCAGCGTTGTGTTTGGTGCGTCGGTTACTAAATTCAATCGGATTAATTAATTCGTATCTCCCTGTATTAAAATTTATTATGAGAAAATTCCTCACGCGAATTATATTGAGAGTTGTGTGCGCACGTAGTACCTGCTGCGCCAGGAATTATAGTTTTTTTGATATAACACGCGAACTCGGTGTCATTAATAAAGACATGTTAAAGGCAATGGTAATGCCTTATGACTTGTGCATCCCTTCTTTCTATCATATCTGGAACAGGTCTCAAAGAGAGTTCCCTCTCTCAGGGGATGATCCCCACTATAAAAATTGTTAACGTATCCTCTATGATTTGTGTACTCCATCTTTCATTTCAGCTACAGGTAAGAACTTGTAAGAATATTTTGAAGTGTCCCCTCTCTTGAGGCGACTTAAAAATTAGAAATATTTTTACAAGTTCTTAAAAGGATGTCCTTTGAAGGAGTTCCCTCTCTCTGGGGATGATCCCCCACCATAAAAATTGTTGATATGCCTGATAATTCCGGGGATGAAGCGCAGAGACATCGTAGCTGTAGGATGGGCCGGGAGCAATGGACGCATCGAAGCAGTGGGCGATAGACCAGAGCGCCGGAGGCGCTCTGGGAGATCGACCTATGACTGTCTTATAACGACACGTGCCAAAAAATTTAAAAATCTGATCCTCTCCTGTTCTCTTTATTCTATCTCCTCCCTCTTCTCTCCTCTCCTCTCTGTTCTCTTCCTTCTATCTTCTCCTATTCTCCTATTCTCTGCTACTCATTCTTCCTATTTCTCTGTTCTCCCGTTCCCCTTTTACTTTCTTTACTTCTCATGTTGCCTTCACTTATATTTCAATTTCTCTTATATTTCGTTGCGATTCTTATATGCAACCCAAATTACACCAGATATTTTTATATTTGAGAAAAATGCTTTCTATAACTGAGATTCGATCCATGTCTGCTAGCATGCCAGCAGGTGCACGTCTCCACTCGACCACCGAGTGTTTTCAACATTGTTATTTGATTCTTCTATTTATGTTTCTACTTTATTCAACTTTTTAAAAACACACAAGCCTTAGCAATGTTGCGCTCATATAAGCTTCATATGAAATATGATTTAACACGCATATCCTGAAAACGACAAAGAGGACATCACAAAAAAAATATGAATGTGATTTTAATTTTAAATTGAATTTTATTAATTATATTTAACAATACATTCCTCTTTCTTTTTTAATTAAACGAACGTATGTGCGATCTATGGCATATTCTACATACCATCGAGCCACAACGCTCTCTAATCAAACGTTACATATAAAGTAGAATGGTTAGTCGAATTGATGCTACTACTCACTGTATAACTTTTGCACTAATTAACAATACCATTTTGGCCTATAAATCCAATTGGAATCCGTAGCCCAACGTAAGAGATCCGACGGCCGGCGGCTGATGGCTTACACACGCGCACGTGGTGTCTTAAGTCTCGAGTCGATTCGAGATAAATCACTTGTTCAGTAGTTGATAGCAATCGATGACTAAACAATTATAAGGCTAGCACCGTATTAAAATCGCCCGAAATACTAACAGTCGCGACGAACAGTGGCGGAGAAGAAAGAGAACACGTACACACAGCACAACTGCGTACCACCGACACACTAAACAGGAAAAAACAGCAGCCAATACGCCAGCGCAACCTGCGCCGAGCGGCGACCGGAACGGTCACTTGCACCCGACGACACACGGCGACCGGTGCGGTACTGTTCAAATTTCAAATGGCAGCGCACAGCGTGCTGCGCAAGACAAGGTCGAACGGAAAGCATAGACAAAGTGTGGAAAGTTCTGCAGATCATATAAAGAACATGGATTGAACATGAAACTTAGAGTATTGCTCTCTTATTCTAACTCACCTGCTATCACCTCATCCTGGTATTTCTATCTCACTCACTGCAACGAAAATTAATAAAACACAATCCATGTTATATATAATCCAAAAACTATTCAAAATGACTAAATATAAACAAACAGTTACAAGTTATCGACATAACAACGTACGAAATGTACAATTTATCCAACAATACACGTTCTACAGGTACATCTCCTACGACATTAGAATATAAACGTATTGCTGTTATGTGTTTAGTTTTTTTTTCTTTCACTTTGAATTTCCTATTTGTAGTATATATATTAGTTTTCCTGATTTGTCGATGAAAACGAGCGACGTTTCATAGCGTTTAGAGTTTTGTTTGTATTTTAAATTTACCCCATTTTTGCTCCTGTATATTTTGTGTTTCCCATGTAATCCGCAATTAAGTATTTAATTAATTTTCTTTTATCTCGGCAGTACTTTGCTGCTTGCTTGCATGTTTTGCGGCTGTACAGGTCGTAAAGTCCTGTTTCAATAGGGCGGCATGTATTTTGTTGACTTGTAAAATCGCTTACAGCCATTCTATTGTTAATAAAGAAAATAGTAAGATATATTGACTTCTTTGATTTGTGTGTACCCTTCTATCATTTCGGGAACAGGTCTCTAGAGAGTTCCACTCTCTCAGGGGATGATCCCCTCTACAAGTGTTAAAGGTAACCTGTATGATTTGTGTGCTCCTTCTTTTCATTTTCAGCTACAGGTCAAGAACTTGTAGAATATTTTTAAGTGTCACCTCTCTTGAGGCGACTTAAAACTTAGAAATATTTCAACAAGACCTATAAGGATTGTCCTTATAAGGAGTTCCCTCTCTCTGGGGTGATCCCCACCATAAAAATTGTTGATATGCCTGATAATTTCGGGGATGAAGCGCAGAGACATCGTAGCTGTAGGTTGGGCCGGGAGCAATGGCTACATCGGAGTAGTGGGCGATCGACCAGAGCGCCGGAGGCGCTCTGGGAGATCGACCGTAGACTGTCTTATAACGACACGTGCCAAAAAATTTAAAAATCTGATCCTCCCCTGTTCTCTTTCTTCTATCTCCTCTTTTTCTCTGCTCTACTCTCTGTTCTCTTCCTTCTATCTTCTCCTATTCTTTACTACTCCTTCTTCTATTTCTCTGTTCTCGTTTCTCCACTTACTTTCTTACTTCTCGTATTGCCTTCACATGTTTTTCAATTTCTCTTATATTTCGTTGCAATTCATATATGCAACCCAAATTACACCTGATATTTTTATATTTGAGAAAAATGCCTTCTATACCTGAGATTCGATCCGTGTCTGCTAGCATGCCAGCAGGTGCACGTCTCCACTCGACCACCGAGTGTTTTTACCATTAATATTTGATTCTTCTATTTATGTTTCTACTTTATTCAACTTTTTAAAAACAACAACACAAGCCTTCGCTATGTTGCACTCACATAAGCTTCATATGAAATATGATTTAAGACGCATATCCTGAAAACTACAAAGAGGATGTTACCAAAAAGTATGAATAATATTTTAATTTTAAATTGAGTTTTATTAATTATATTTAACATACATTCTTCCTCCTGTTTTAATAAAACGAACGTACGTACAATCGAAGGCATATCTTACGTACCATCAAGCCACAACGCTCTCGTATCAAACGTTACACACAAAGTAGAATTGTTTGTTGATGTTATTACTCACTGTATTACTTTTGCACAAACAACTATGCCACCCAGAGAAATCGCGTGATTTGTCTCTTCTAATTAACAAATCCATATTGGACTATAAATCCAATTGGAATCCGTAGCCCAACGAAAGAGATCCGACGGCCGGCGGCCGATGGCTCAAACACGCGCACGTGGTGTCTTGAGTCTCAAGTCGATTCAAGATAAATCACTTGTTCAGTAGTTGATAGCAATCGATGACTAAACAATTATAAGGCTCGCACCGTATTAAAGTCTCCCGAAATGCTAACAGTCGCGATGAAGACCGGCGGTGAAACACAACACGCAGCACAATTGCGTACCACCGACTGACTAAACACGAAAAAACAACAGCCAATACGACCGCGCAAGATGTTCTGAGCAGTATAGCGAATTGTCACTTAAAGCCGATACGGCGACCGGTGCGGTACTGTTCAAATTTCAAATGTCAGCGCACAGCGTGCTGCGCAAGCCAAGGTCGAACTGAGAGCATAAACAAGGTGCAGAAAATTCTGCAGATCATATAGAGAACATGGATTGAGCATGACACTTAGAGTATTGCTCTCTTATTCTTACTCACGTGCTATCAGCTCACCCTGGTATTTCTATTTCACTCACTTGAACGAAAATTAATAAAACACAATCCATGTTATATATAATCCAAAAACTATTCAGAATGACTAAATGTAAACAAACCGTTTCAGTAATCAGCAAAAATCAGTGCTTGGAAATACAAAAAGTCAATTTTTCTCGCTAATTCATAAGTTTTCATAAAAGTTATGTATGAAAATGATAAAGAAATTAATTACTTACAATCTGATGCAAAAATGGTTCTCCTACGATATCGGGCTTCGGTGCAGAACAGCTAAAACAAGCGAAATATAGTCCTTTGCAACACAAAAATGCAATTTTCGTCACTAATTCATGAGGTAATCACAAAAATTAGTTATGAAAACGATAAAGAAATTAATCACTTACAATCTGATGCAAGAATGGATCTCCTACGATATCGGGATCGAGTGCAGAAAACCTAAAACAAGCAAAAAGTAGTCCTTTGCAACACAAAAATGCAATTTTCTTCACTAATTCATGAGCTAATCACAAAAATTAGTTATGAAAACGATAAAGAAATAAATTACTTACAATCTGATGCAAGAATGGTTCTACTACGATGTCGACTTTGGGTGCAGAACACCTAAAATAAGCAAAAAGTAGTCCTTTGCAACACAAAAATGCAATTTTCATCACTAATTCATGAGCTAATCACAAAAATTAGTTATGAAAACGATAAAGAAATAAATTACTTACAATCTGATGCAAGAATGGTTCTCCTACGATATCGGGATCGGGTGCAGAACACCTAAAAAAAAATTAGTTATGAAAACGATAAAGAAATAAATTTCTTACAATCTGATGCAAAAATGGTTCTCCTACGATATCGGGATCGGATGGAAAACACCTAAAACAATCAAAATGTAGTCCTTTGCAACAGAAAAATGCAATTTTCGTCACTAATTCTTGAGCTAATCAAAAAAATTAGTTATAAAAACGATAAAGAAATAAATTACTTACAATCTGATGCAAGAATGGTTCTCCTACGATATCGGGATCGGGTGCAGAACACCTAAAACAAGCAAAATGTAGTCCTTTGCAACACAAAAATGCAATTTTCGTCACTAATTCATGAGCTAATCAAAAAATTAGTTATGAGAACGATAAAGAAATTAATTACTTACAATCTGATGCAAGAATGGTTCTCCTACGATATCGGGATCGGGTGCAGAACACCTAAAACAAGCAAAAAGTAGTCGTTTCCAACACTTCAAGAAAGGCAAAGTCATCATAGCAGCCAAAGGATTAAACATAATAAAAATTTGGAAAATGCTTTATACGATAAGACAAGAAAATAATTAAAATTCAGGGTGTAAAGATTCAGAAATCTTAATCAAATTAATATATTAATGAATACACCAAACAAATCTACTAACAATTCTTAGCCGACGAAAGATATCCGCCGGCCGACGGGATATACCTGCGTATTTTGCAATTCCGGACACACGATGTCTCAATAACTATAACTTTTCTTTGCTGACCGATTCTAATTCAACTACCGACTTAAAATCACAAGAAATGAGATAAGTCCAAAATCGCCGCTCAAATATATGCGTTCTCACCACGCTACAGCACACGATCGACTAAGTAAGAAATAGAACAGACACTGCTGAGCGCGCCGGACGAGCAGCAATGCAATAAAAAAAAACAAGTTGTTTGTACACAAACACCGATAAGAGTCAAGAGTGAGAATTATGAACTATTCATGTTGTGGATGCAGTCTAATGCAATGAAAAGATTGTGGACGTTCTAACTTATTCGTATAAACAACATACGAAGGTAGCGATAGAAGTGACACCCCTTTTGGGCCCCGTACGAGGGTAGCGGTAGAAGTGACTTTATTCAGGGCACCGTACGAGGGTAGCGGTAGAAGTGACTTTATTCAGGGCACCATTCGAGAGTAGCGGTAGAAGTGACTCCCATTCTAACAATTTTAAAGTTGGTTTTCACACATTTTGCGCTAGATGTTTAGGGGCAACCATGGCGCATCTGCGGGAGAAACTCTCGCACTATTTAAAAATAAGAAGAACATTAAAATGACAAGGTTCCCGGGACATCCGACAATTTCCACGACAAGATTTGAAAAAAAATGGAAACTTTAAAAGAGATTCTTAGACAGATCGCACAAAATTTAGAGGGGCGGCATTGACGCATTTTTTTACATGTATCTTCAACCTTACCGTCATATTATAAACTCCATGGTTGGTGCATTGACAAACTTCTTTCCTGGACATCAACGTTGTCTAGATGCAGGAATTAATCTTAAATCCATTTTTTAAGGCGCGAGAAGATAACCGTCAGCCGACGGAACCACACACGCACACAGGTGCACCGAAAATAAATCCGCGATTGATGAACACCGAATGCGTGCAATCAGCCTTGTAAAACCTTAATCACGCCCGATTTAAGCATATGCTAAATTGTTTGTATAATGAATATCAATAGATTAACTTAATTTTGTTCAGAAGAGACAAAAGTAGTCGCGATGAACACGCGCGATTCAGCTGATGGCTGGAATGAAACTGCATGTGCACATAGCCTACATCGGCAACACGCGGTCACTATCCGTTCAGCGATACGCTGGCGGCACACGAAAAAAAGTGTTTACATACAATTATCGCGCGAAACTGAACTATGAATGCAGCGCCAGTTTTGTTTTTGTTTACTTCTTAACAAACTCGTTCAGTCAATATATTTATTGAATTTTTAGTGCAAGAATCACATTACTTTAATATCATTCAGAATCACAGGTGACATGAAATAAACTCAAATTTAGCTTTCCCGATTGTGTCATTTATTCGTCCTTTATTTCATTTCTAGTATAAACGTTGATTTTTTATGCAAAAACAACACTTACAAATTTTTAAAATCAATATAAATTTATTAAATCAAATATAATTTCCACGAGAACAAACTTTAATTATTAGCACAAACTCGAAATTAAATAAATGAACAATAAATGCAAGCAAAATCCATTGGCTCCAGACGAAATCTAATAGTCATCTGAAGAAACACTCGACACAAAATTAAAGACCCACGAAAACACGTGCCATATATCAAACCACAACGCAACAGTGATGCATGAAAACAAAATTATTCTCAACAAAAAATCGACGATGCTGCCATCTAGATGTGAAACTACAAACTATTTAACAGTTAAATACACCAGCCCCATCTAGTTGTTAGAAAACTAACTATTACGAAGAGCAGAAAACTGTAACGTCGGCAACGAGCGTCCAAACTCTACAAGTAAGAGAAGACAAAATGCCGCGTTCCCTAATAAGATTAAAACCATTTAACCTAGGCAACCTATCAATCGCAATTCAAAAAAAACTATTGAAAGTCATTTAGAAGTTATCATCCGGAAACATGTTTTAACACGTTATTGTTATACATAGAATAAACTTTAGTGAGTATTCTCATAAGATTCATGTTTTAAAAATTAGTAAATTCTCTTGAAAACGTATTCTCTCTGTAAATTCATTGTTTGGAACTCTTTGAGGTTAATATTCAAAACAAAATCATGCCCAAACCGCTTAATACCATTGAAAAGAAAATCGAACCGGTAAATATAACCCGTTTAGCAAGATTACGATCTAATTTTACAAACATTACAGCAAGTTGTCAAAGATATACTCACTTCTCAATTCACAAACAGTAAAACAAAGGTTGCTAATGAAGTAATAACCATGATGACAGAATTGGCTAAACTTGTAGTAACTGAAGCAGCTACCAGAGCAGTGCTGCAAGCCAAACAAGACAGAAAAGCAGCAAACAACAACAAAGTCACCTTGGATCACATTGAAGCAGTATTACCACAATTTGTGAGTTTAACCCATTGAAATTTTAATGAAAACTTATATTTTCTTACTGTTTCAGATGATGGACTTACCCTAAGTTATTACAAAGTATTTTCGATTTTGTTATTAATAATATAATAACTATTTAAAACATTAAAACATGTCCATGTCATTCCCAGCTGATAAATCTAAGTAATCATTTTCATATTTGTCTACCTTACTTGCATTACTGGTGCCACTAGTAGTATGAATTGCCTCTTCCATTGTTTCCTGTCCGTCTGTTTCGGGGGTTGGCGGCGGATTGACAACATCATCAGCGTTATCCTTTGGTGTCCATTGTTTGTCGCTTAGTTTTTGGACTAGTTCGGCTTTCGTTAAAAGTTCTGGTAAATTCTTAGATCTACTTGATGCTAGAGCAACAAATAACAATATTTTTATAAATTCTTAATACGCGTAGATTGACAAACCTATTTGTAACTTTATTTGTTCACTCTTCTTTTTCTTCTTTGCTTTAATGAACTCTTTGTAATTCTTCCTCTCGTCCTCGAAGATAATACCGCGTTGTTCTGCGGTCAATTCGTCGTCATGTTTTAATAGAAACAGGTAAACTCCGCCAGGCGTACGTCTTCTACTTTGATTCTTTAAAAGAAAAACAGTGTTAGAAAAATAAAAACACATTAACAAACAAATTATAAATACCATAATTAACATTCCACCATCAGCTTCAATACGTTTTACGTCCATGTATAATTGAATAGCTTTATCAGCACCAACTGCAGACACAATTTTCTCTGAGAATAAACAATATAATTAAATAAAACAAAAATTTATATCCTACAAGTTGTTACTCACGAATTAAATCTTCTTTATTTTCACACAATTTGTTAGCAATCTCCACTGCTATTTCCTCATTGCTTTTTTCCTCCTTAACAATCTCCATTAATATCCTAGGCTGCCCTTTAACTCTCTCTTCACTTGAATCCCTTGATTGTCTTCTATTCATCAATCTTAACTTAACGTCCTTTCGGTCATTGCGACTGCGTTTATTGTTAATTCGCACCCGTGCATCATCTGTCGGCGCAACATCAACATCAACCTCATTATTCAACTGTGCATAATACTTCCTGGCAATAGTGTGATCATAAGTCTCCACATCTCTAGATCTATCCTTTTGTGAAACATCACAGGAGGTCATTGCTAGCAGAGAATCTTCTTGTGCTCTATTGCTCCACACATCATACTTCTTTTTCTTGGATCCTAAAGGTTTAGGCAGTGATTTCTTAACTTTAACCCTGGGTTTCTTTGCCCTGAAGCTTGGTGAATCTGAGTCAGAATCATCAGAAGATGAAGCAATTGATTCATCACTCTCAGTCTCTGGTTTCTTGAGTGAAACAAATGGTTTTGCTAGAGAAGAGTATGTGGCTGGACGTTCTAGAGGAGTGTAACCATCTGAATCATTACTTAACTAAAGAATAAGATACAAGAAAAGTTAGATTCAAGTTGATAACAATAAAAGTAGAAGATGTAAAAATATAACGTTAACAAAACTTACTTCTCCATCTTCTAATGTGTTATCTAACTCCATATTTATTTATCGTAAAATTACAACTTATTACAATAAATAAAATATTGTTTATTACTACTTTACGAATGAATTACACTTTCTGCACTTTCTTTTAAGGTTAGCGGTGCGCAATTTAAGTTGCCTACAGCTAGATTACCAAGCATAAAAATAGATGTCGCAATGGGTCACGTTTTAACTTATTATGAACATAGGTCAAGTTTAGAGAGTCCGCATCCACTACAAACATTGTTTACGTCGGTCCAGTAATGTTCTGATATGTGTTTGTGTTACTAAACATGCAATAATTCCAAACATTTTGCTCAATCATCTAATTCCACCGCTAACATAATCGCGAGTGTTTTGTTTTCTATCAAGTTACACCAAAACCAAGTGAATATAAACGTCAGAAGCTTCGAAACTAACCTCTAAACACAAACTCCACCAGAAAATGTCGCCAGAACTCAATGGAAATCAGCCGGTGCTACCGAAACGAAACAAAAAGAATCGCAAACACGCCAGCACATCCAACATTCGCCAAACATTCCCGATGGCCGCATGCAATGTGCCTTACATGAACTCATACTGCACATATCCCACAGCACCATCATTTGCAATTCATCCAGAACCAATGTCACTACCAATATATCCACCCAGCTACCACCATTACTCATCCACACCTGTCTATAACTCCGGTGGATTCAACTCACACGGCATGAATGCAGCCAGCATGAACACACCCAGCAGGATGTTCCCACACAAGAATTTCGCACCAGAGGAATGCATGTCTCTGCCTGTTGTTAAAGATGAAGTTGAAGAAGATCCCGGCCAGAGAAGATTTTCAGATCCAGGTGTGCCAAACGACAGTGATTCTGGCAGTGAGAATGAGAGCATGTTTCAGTACTTGACACATCAGGTGAATGTACTACAGGAAAGCAACAGACAACTGATGAGAGAAGTCACAGAACTCAGAATGGAGCTGAATATACTCAAACAACAACAGATGCATTCGAATAATTTCGATCGGGATTATGAACCAGGCATGATATCAGATTTTATCAAAGAAATTCGTGATGCTGCAAGAATTAGAGAAGATGCTTTGCTTGCCAAAGTGAAGCACATTGTAGAAGAGAAACAATTTTCAGATGTGAGTAAAATAAATAGGTACCTATATCCTGCTTAAGTAGAATTTAATAAAAATGTTTCTTAAATTGTTTTTATAGTGAAGATATTCCTGTATTCACAGTATTAAAACTAAATTGTGTGCTGTGTGCATTTCGCGCAGAGCAAAGATTGCCGAATGCAAGAGTAAATAAATTATTTATTATCGATTCGGCGATAATGCATATACGCGAAGCAGCAGCAGCATCAAAACAAAAAAAAATACCAAACCTTAGTCGACGGAAACTCGATCCGTCTACTCTCCTCCGGTCGGCGTTCGTTCGATGAGAACATCTACTTCCCCGCGCAAATATTGACAGAACGTTGATGTCCGCGTATAAAATAGGATATGCACTCATCCCACCCCTTAGCCCTCCGCTAGTTTTTCTTAAAATCAAGGGAAATCACAATAAGACGCCCTGCGCTACGCCTTCACGAAACAAAACAAACGGCACTTTTAAGTATTTGTGCCTGCGCGCGTATGAAAAATTGATAGTGTTTTGTTTGATTTGTGCGACTGTTGGGTGAGTACAAGATGGCGGCGGTCGCGGTTGGTTTTTATTTTTTAGTCGTGTAACGTGAGTATGTGGGAGTGGAGGAATGAAGGCAATGGAGCCAATGTACGATTTCCCCTCGACCGAGGCCGGCGGTAACCCGATACGAGCCACTCTCGCGTCGCGTCGCGCCGATCGTGCAAACAAGGAGATGGCCTTAATGGAGTCGCCGATGTGCATCTTCGTGTTTTCGGGCCCGGCCCAAGCGGCCGGCTGCGCGCTCGGATTAAAATCCCCATTAAGGCAATTTACGGGGGCCCACTTTAATGTGAAATTCAACCGGCTGAGGTTCATCCTTTTGAATGAAAACCGCAAGTGGCTACGATCATGCCTCAAATATTAACTCCTCACAAAAAAATATTTATAAACTGTTTGTGTTATAATAAATTATCTACCATGTTATAGTAACAAATAAACACGTCGTTCGCGTTCAAACAACTCAATTTCACGTTTTACATGCCGCAGAACCGAATATATCTTTAGTTCGGAGGCGGCGGCTGTGGCGACGGCGGCGGCGCGTGCACGCCTCGTCGTAATAAAATAATCTGAAATCTGTTTAGAGAACAAATGTTTGCGTTGATCGTTTAGTCACACAAACAGTCGTCGATTTTTTCGCGCGGCTTTGAACGCGTGTGCACAATGAAAAATCCTGCGGTGCGCCGCCGACGCCACCGCCACAGCCGTCGCCTTTTACTTTCGCGCGCGCCGCGCGGTAAACAAAAGGGAAGTTTGCGCCCGCCGCCGCACGCTCATTTGGCGGACGGAAAAAATCAACACACCGCGAAAGGCGAAATGGTGAATGGTGCAAAAAAAAAGCGTCGAATTGAACGGCAATATCAGCGCAAATATGCATGCAAACAGCGGCGGCCATTTTGTTTACAGAGCACACACGAGGGCGACAAGGGAAAGAGATACGCGCGCGTAGAAATTTGCACAAAGGTTTAAAACTTACCTATCCCAATTGAACTCGGCGTAAACTGCAAGGAGGAGAGTATTTAGTAAACAAATATCAAACAAAAGTCACTCCACTACTTACCAAAACAATTTATTATTAGTTTCTTTTATTATTTGTTTGTTTGTCATCGTTTACATTTACAACACCGTAACACATTTTTATTGTCATCCATGTCACCACAGGAAGTAAACTTTTGCAAATGCTTGCGGTTTCGCGCTTTTAGTGCTGATATCCCATCGTTTTTGTCCATCTTCCTGTTCTTTGCTCCTCTTTTGACACAAAGTGTCTTCGTCACCGTTTTATTCTTTATATCTGGTGTTACTTGAAATTTATGACGCCACCACATTTACCTGCCGCATTATAATGCCCCGGAAAGGTGTAAAACGGCGCGTATCCACGCTGGGTGGTCTGAAAACGTGAAAATTTTAACCAAACACTCGAAAATACTAGCGTATAAAAACGAGAGATAAAAGGGTTGCGAGATGCGACTGAAATTAAACATGTCTGTGTGTTTCTGCTTGTTTCAGAGCCAGTTGCAAATGGCTAGCGAGAAGAAGCACCACAATGACCGCATCGCTAAGCTGGAGGAACAAATGAAGCATATGAATTTTACTACGACTTCCGGTTTAGCAACAATGGCTAATATTGGCAATAATAGTCTAAGGTTAGTGTAGATGCTTGTTAAAACTGTCAAACTATACGAGTATAGTTTTTTATTATTATTATTGAGGTTATATTATTTTGAGTTTTGCGACGGGCGGAAATTTATAATTCCCTGTGTGTCGCAGGCTCATAATTCACGTCTGCGACGTAATTCGCTCTCGGGGCTGGGCGACGTCGACGTCGGTCGTCGGCGTCGTTTGTTGACACAGTCGGGAAATATGGAGCGCGATAAGGCATGATCTTGCGCGCCCAGGCGGCCATTATCTCGACTTGCCGCAACCCACAATGCACGACACAACTCAACTCGAACGCGCCGCCGCTGCCTCTTTTCACACGACTTACAATTTCCACTTTAATAACTGACTGGGCGATTTTAACTTTTGCAATTAATGTAACGTTTGAAACATTTCAACACTGAGCGACGTTTTTTGTTATTCTACACAGAGTTGGACTTGGTGCTGCTGGTGAAGATATGTCGCTGCCATCAACTTCCATTTCGCTATCGGAAGAGAACTCAATCGCGCATTCGCTAGCCGCAAATCGACAGGTTTGTGAACTTGAGAGAGAAGTTCTCCAGCTAAGGCGAGAAGTACAAGATTCACGTGCGAAAAAAGAAGAAAGCGATAATAAAATTATGCTGTAAGTTACCCTGAATTTGTGTAACCAATAATTTCGACACATCCTAACCTAAAATTCATGTGCATGCAATTTCATAATCATCTTTTTTGTTTGTTAATAATTCCTCCACGTGTTTTGTTTCTTTTAACCCGAAAATTTACAGCGTCTGACTTGATGTATGTTCTTGTGGCCGTTTCCTCTCGCAGGCTGGAAAAACGCATCTCGTTGCTACACCGACGCGAATCCCTCGCCGACGACAAGACTTCTGTAACGTCCATGGCGTCGTCGACGATGGACAACATCTCGCTCGTCACCAGCACACAATCATCGCTGGTATCTTCATCGCCACTGCATAATCATCAACACAAGTTCATGCAGGTCGGGCCTGTTACGGATCTTTGATTAGAGTTTGATTTGCAATCAAATTTCCAAATGAAAAGACATTTACGGCGATTTTTACACGATGCAGTGAAAATATACATTTTAAAACGTTAAAGAAAAACATGCAAAGCTGTTAAATGAGGTTAAAATTATGTGACAGCTGTCAAAATGGTGTTTGGGTGCTATAACCGATAGGTGGCGCTGTGATAAGTCTATTTTTGATGCAAAATCATATATTTTTGAAACATTAGGATCTCATTTATTCAACGTAGTGACAAATAATTCATACATTCCGTGCATGCAACGTAATTTATTATTATTATTAATATTGTTAATGATTACGTAGTTAGTATTCGTTCTTTTTTTCGGCGAGATAATTAGATCGATTGACGAATAATTGACAAATAAGAAATTGCCATTCATTGTTCGGGCTGTAATTAAATGTCCATCAATCAAACGCAAACGTGGATTAAAGCCAAAAAAAAAAAGAATATTTGGACATTAATTCGGTTAAGGAAATAAAGTACTTAGAATAATAAATATCTAGCTATAAAAATATTAAATCTATAATAAACTTATAGAATAGAATATTTTTCTACATGCAACGCTTCATAATAATTAGAGATATTAATTAGCTGCTCACTTAACATTCGACTGATCAAGCAAACATTCCACTACTTATAATAATACTACAAATACTAAGCAATCGATTAAAATTAAAATGTCACGCGCTATAATTTTAATGTTTTAATTTTAAGTTAAGTTACAAGCTAAATATTTCATATCACAGTTGTTGCGAATGTTCAATTTGCGCGCAATAAAACTCAGTTTATCGATTAGTACATATCGATGTGGTTAAATATTGAAAAGGAAGACTACTATTTACACTAGTTATTCGTGAGTTATGATAAATATTAGTTATTGTTGCAGCTATGTATTTATTTTCACATATAACAAGCAATCGCTCATCAAAATATCCCCATCTCAGCTTGTTAAACATTCGGTTAATTATTATTGTCATCATATCACATTGTAATATTACTACAAATATATGTAGTCAAGAGAATAAAATCAACACACTTGAAAGAATGCGATGTATTCTTGTGATAACTTTCCCATTCATCATTTGTCGAAATTAATCAAATATCGTGTATGATGTGTGATTTATAAACGCATGAATGAAATATAATGAGGAAGGTATTTGTGCGGGTAATGGAAACTTGTTGTTGCAAGTGTTTAAGCCGCGCGGATTTTCCCACTCGGGGAATCGCAGAAAATTTCGGTGTTTTCCAGTTTTATGGGAAAATTTCACGTTGACGCATCGTGGGTAGTGTTTGTTTTCTTTAAGGATCAGTTGTGTTTCGCAGGGAAACAAAAATAAACAGTGAGAATAATTCTTTAATTCACTCAACTTCAACTTGAATATGAATATTTTGCATGTGAGTAATTTTTTATGTCTTAGGGTTAATTTAGATGAATTAAATGTGAAATATGGGATCGTCTGGTTGCCTGCCACGTGTCGCGACACGCGCAACAATGCGCCACTTCCGGTCGTCAAGCCACATCGACACACTACGACCGGAAGTCATATTATCCCTAATATGAAATGACGTGTGCCCGTGTGCCATCCGTAATTTGATAATTATTGAATGTAATTCACTACATTTTCCCCTTTTTTTCGCTGCCTGCAACTTTTTATAATTTTTACTTCGTGAGAAAGTGTTAGTTGTAAGTATTAAGATGAATTCCAACCTCAAAGTAAAAGTATAAAAGCGTAGAAGAAGTAGTAATCTAGTTCTAGATATTGAGTTGTCCGCGTTCGGGCTGCGCTGGGGTGGTTTGCCGAGAGTTGAGAGTTGCGATGTGACTGAAAGTCACCGGCGCGCCCGCCGACGGAGCGACGAAGGTCTGGAAAATCGATTGTGTCAACACCAGGAGTTTTCGAGCCCCGGCGAGTGCGGAAAACGACCGACGACCAAACCATCCCAACACAACAGCGCGAGTTACCGACGGCAAGCAGCAGCAAAGCTTTCATTCCCTGCAGCGAAACTTCGGAATTCTTAAAAAAATCCTCCACAACAACAAAAATTATTTAACTCACAAAAGAAAACAATAAAATATTGCTACGCGTAAGATAATTGAACGCAAGAAAAAAATCATTGAAAAAAAGTTTAGTAATGTTTCCGTTTTGTCTGGTTGGAGTGGAAATTGCAGCAGTTAGGAACGATTATTACGTATTGGGAAAATATTGACAGTCGACGGTGCTCCGGGGGGCGGCCGGCGGTATAATCTCAATGTTCTATATGCTGAAAAATATCAACGCAAACAAAGCGCGAGCGCCCCGGCTGCAGGAAATGTCTATAGACAGAGAGATCGGGCGCAATCCGGGCGCGCGGCGCGCAGAAATATTAAGTGCAGCTTCCAACTTCCGGCGGCGTACGTCCGGTTACGTCGGTTGTTTTAGATATTTCGCCTTCCTTCCGACGGACCACGCACAACTTAACAACACAAAAAGACCGGAAAACAAAAATTTTTAAAAATAAAAAAATTGTTTGCATTCAGATTGATTTTTAATCACATTAACGCGTAATTGTCATCATGAATTAATAAAGAAATCAATTGGGGATGTGCGGTGAGTGACGTGCGGCCAGGTGTGAACATCGCGTCGCATTGATAAAATAATTGCCAACCCTCGTTCTTCTATCAAACGCGACTTCTGACGCGATAATTGGTGAAGGCGCGCGTGCTCCCCGTCGTGACTTGACAAAACCGCGCCGAAATCATATCGTGCTCATCGAATTGTGACCGCTAACGCCATAATTGAATTTTGTGCAGTCATTGTTATAATTGTACAATAAAAAAACGTCACGTAGATATTAATTTTAATTTTTTTGGTTTTTCGTGTGTATTTAGCGATATTCCTCTTAGTTTTATTGTTTTTCTTGGTTTTGCTGCGATGTTAAGTCGGCGTCCCTTTGAGCATCCATAATGGCGGACTATTATGAGTTATAACTCGCGCTGAGCTGAGACAAACGTGAAAAAGGGACAGGTGAAAATTGAGCGATTGATAAATATTTGTGCTGGCGCGGCCGCGCCGAAAACGGAAACTTTAAACTTTGTTGTTTCAAGCACGCGCATAGGTAAGAGCAGACCACGACCACCCAAGCAGATTCAAAAGAGTCGTCCTCCCCGCAAGAGAAGTGTTAACTTAAACTCTAACTAACTTTGAACTTTATCCGTCGGCAAAACAAAAAAAAAACAATTTTTTTTTAATTCGAATAAAAATTAATCGTTTACATAATTTTAGCAGTTTTATTTTGTGTTGAATAATATTCAAAGTTTTGAATTATCTTGTATGTTGAATAGTCGTCGTAATTAGAATGCATGTGTGCCAGCAGTGCATCGGGCAGCAGTGCATTAACACATTCTATAAAAGTTTCGATGAAGTTGAGGCGCAAGTTGTGCAGCGCGCAGAGTTGTCGAGTTGAGTTATTGGTACGCTAATTAAATTCGAAGCTTCTTGCTTTCGAACGCACACAGAATTAACTTTTACTCAGTTTTCAACAACATGCGCAACTGCTCAACTCTTCAAACGCACATGTAGCAACTTTTGATTTCAACTAATTGCGTTAAAAAGTTACGTATTTTTTAAATTTCAACATTTTCATATAAAAACCAAAACAAAAAAATTAAAATTTATGTGGGATCGGTGAGTGAGTGCAAATGTTATAATTGATGAGTGAGTAAAGGACACGATGTTTATTATCACGAACAATGTTTATTAAGAAGTCTTGAAGAAGTATAGTTAAGAAGTATTGTAGAGAAGAATAGTTAAGAACTGTAGTGTTTGAAGTAATGTGAAGAACTGTCCTTCCTAAACCCTTGTCACCCACCAGCAACCCTTCAGGTTGATGGGTGGTGACAAGAAATTTGGAAGTAGGAAGAAAGTAATAGATTGGATTGGTAGAAGAAAGTGTATGACATTGAAGAGAGGGAAAGCTGACCATTGGATTCTGGGAATCCGAGTCGTGCCAAACCGTCCGACTCGGGGATTAGGTTTTTCAAGGTAATAAAAGATATTAGGAAATTTGGGAATTTTGGATGAAGAATTACGGTATACAATAAAGATGAAGAAAGTTATAAAGTTTTGAAATACAGAAATAAGCTTTGGGTAAAGATCCCCACATTTATTATTCACGTTATTCTAACCTGAATATTTTGTTTGTTGATTTTCAATTCTCGGCGTCTTCGATAGGCGCGTATGCAAACACAAAAGCGTTTCATTCATTTCTTCATACGACGATGGCAGAAGAAGAAGAAGAAGAAGTTGTATGTTGATGTTGTTGATGCTGGATGCGCGATCGAAAACAAACAAAGAGCTACTGTTCGACACATGCACACACATCGTTGACTGGCGACTTGAAATTTCATCGCGTATTGTGCTGTGCGCGTCGACAATGTCTCAAGACGCAATGCTGCGATGCGTGCGGCGCGTGGGTTTGCTTCGAGTTGATTTTTTATTATCACTCGAAGCGCCTCCGAGTGGTTTTTTATTATTGTGCAGTCACCGTGCGCCTCGCCGTGCGCGTTCGATTTCGACGATTCACGGTAGCGCTTCAACAGCTTTACAATCGATAAATTCAAACCGAAAACACGCGAGATTTACAACTCTACAACTTAGCCAGGCGAGAATTTATGCTGATTTTATGAACATTTTCGTACATTTTTACATAAAAAATAAAAAATAAATAAACTTGTTTTTTATTATGATGATGATGATGAAGAATATTGCTGTCAGGTGTTTATTGTTTTAGGATCTTAAATATTTTTTATGTTATAGTGGAGATTTGCTGGTTTAGGAGTTTCCATTTCGAAAAATCCGGCGTAAATCTAAGCCGAGTCAAGTGTGCTTCGTTTTACAAAGCCAAAAAGTTGCTGATATTGATGGAAAAAGTCACGTATCGCGGCGTGTTGGGAGGATAACAGCACGTACACAAATATTCGTCGACTTTTAGTCCTTTGCCACTTGAACAAAACTCCAAATACAGTGAATCTACCTGCCGTACCTGGAAATACACGGTGTTTTCTTGAAATCGTCACCTACATGGGATTTACCCTTAGTTTAGTACAGTTTATTGCGGTGGTTTTAACACAATTTCAAAGACCTCACAGAAAAATAGAAAACAAAAAAATTAGTTTATAAAAAAAAGATTTACCTACTTAATAATATTAAAGTAAAAAATATTGTCTTCAAATAAGAAATAAGAAATGAAAAGCAATGTGCAAAGTGGCACTCGACTCTGCCTTGGCCAGGGAAGAGAAGAAGTGCGTGTGGCTGGCAGAGACAATCGGCCACTCGAAACACAAAGTGTTCGATGCGTACACGCAGACAGTCACATACTAAAAGAAGACGCTGCTCTCGACCACGACACCGCGACGAGGAGCAGCACCAAGTGGACCAGGCGAAGGAGACTGCTCTTCGGCCCGTCGGACCACACGCGGCGCGCACTCGAGTTCATCTTTCACGAGTCATTCATACTCATAACATTCATACTTTCCTTTAGTGATGAGACAAATAAAATAAACACACGCAAATACTATATCTACCAATATCTACCTATAGGTACTTCTATTACCCTAACCTATAAATATAATTTCGTATTTATATTATGATGTGCAGATAGCGAATTAGTTCAGTTTCACCCTCGGCGGTTTTCTCACCCGCTGTGAAGTGGTGTGTTGCGGGTCGAACGTGCAGATAACGCGAGTGCGTGGATCATGTGTGCGTAACGCGTGTGCGTGATAATGCGTGTTGGTGTGAGTGTGTGTCGCAAGTTGCGCGCGGTACGGGATCAAGATAAAGTCCAAGTGCGGCAGCGCAGCGGATGACAAATGGCCGTCATAAAAAATTAGGATAATCGAAAACAATATGGTCAGGCGGCGATAACACGCTGCCGGCATATATTTCAAATTGATTTATGAGCATAAATTGCACATTTATGCTTTTAAATAACCTCCAAATCAATAAAACAACAAATGTTTAGATGAGGTTATGTTAGATTAAGTTAGACTACCCATAAAACACTCATTGAAAACTAAACTTAAATAAATATCCTCTTTAAATGCCAATTTTAATTACTTATAGGCATTTCTAATAGATTTTTGAATAAAAATGCTATAAACAGCAGAATTATGCTTTAAATAACCTCAAAATGTATAAATACAAATGTTTAGTTAAGGTTGTGTTAATTTAGGTTAGGCAACCCACTTTACACTAATAATATCACTATATTATTATTTATAAACCTCAAAATCAATAAATTAACAAATCTTCAATTTAGGTTAAGTTAAATTAGGTTAGACTACCCACTTAACACTCATAAATCCTATTTTTTTAAATTCAAATAATAATTTCATTCATACTTATATTTAATGCAATAGTCTACATTCAGGATTAAAAATGCAGACTGAGTGTACACACAACAAGCGAAATACAGCCACGCGGCGCCGTGCTGACTATTTGATTACTCACATTGCATCCGTCGGCGTCTGGAACCCAGGAGACACACGACAAACAGCGAATTAAATGTACGGCTTGCATTAAAATTAATTAAATATATGCAATTACTTGCATTATCACGCAAACACCAGCTATCAGACACAACAAACATCGATTTCCCAATCATCTGAATACTTTCACTTTAAAAAAAAACAAAACTAGGTTAAATCATTACATAACCTCAATTAGAGTGCAAAAATCACACATTTCAAGTGCCACTAATGTAAACACGGAAACATAATTCGCTAATACCAATAAATTTCAAGTGTTTCCTTGTTTTAATTGAGTATTATTTATTTATAAAGATTGATAACTGGAAATTTCGAGTTTCGTGACGCATCCGAAACATCTCAAAACACAAGTTGAAATAAAATAATGCACAATACAGTTATGAGTGTGATAATATCACAAAAGCCTCATAAATGTCACTTATCATTAACGCTATCAGCATGTAATCATCATATTATCAATAATTGTTATCAATCTGAATGGTGGGTCGTAAAATAATTAACTTTAATGGTAACATGCATTACAACTTTTACTATTATTTATTTATTTATTTGTTTGTCGCTGTGTTTAATTTTGTTTTGTAACGAATGAAAACGAAAACATTTTAATCTTCCGCCTTTAATACACTCGTACAAAAGCCGTACGCTTTTTGGGTTTACAGCTCCAGCTTCTCTTTGGTTTTGGGTCGGCGGTTATTAGGGTTATTAGTGTGTTTAGTGGCTTTTATTGGCGTGCGGTTGGTCACGCCGCAGGGTATATTATGACATTAAAGTTTACTACCTTCGAATTGTCGAAGCTTTTTGCGTATTGCGGCTTGTAAACACGATCAAAACAACTTAGTCATCCATTCATAACCTAATCTCAGCGCCAGTTGGACTTTGCGCTGTGGAAAACAACAAATCAAACAAAAACAAGTCAACGACGACGCTAAACGATCGGTTATCGATCATTGAACCTCAACGCTTGTACTTTGACCCTGCAATAATTTTCCTTCTATTTAAATATGTTTACACGATTATTAGCTTTGATTCTTTAAATTTGTTGATTTGGCATGTCGGCCTGTTGATTGTTTGACATTCAATTGTTTTGTGTGCCAAACACACAGCCGGTTGAGCTGCAACCAAACAAGCAAACACCAACTAAGCTTCAATCATTTGTTTCTTGTCAACTAACTTACAACGAAAGCTGTGTGAGACACACACACACACACACAATTATTTAATAATTGTTTAACATTATATTCCACATTATACATCAATATTTGGTAAAATTAAACATCAACATAAACGGGTGTTTGTTGAACCAGCGTGGAGAGAAAAAAAAAACGAAAACAAAACATAACCAAACATTGAAGTGAAGCCAGCGCCAGTGAGAGCACAGTTAGTTAGCATTTGTTTGTGTTTTGTTTCCTCTCGCACGCTCTCTTGTATCTATTTATCTATGTGTTTGAGTGTGCAAATTGTTTGAATCGGTTGTGTTTGACTGTTTGATTGTTTGAATTGGGTTAATAATAATAATTAATATAATTAAGCGATTATGTCATCGCGGCGGGTGCCTAATCTCGCGCAAATATTGTAATAATAAAATAAGGACAGAGTCAATACGCGCAGGCGTGCGTGTGTGATGTGTGTCAGCGTGTTGAACGCGCGCGCAACATTTTCGCGAGCATCGAGCGCGATGAGAGCAGACCAGAGCAGAGCAGCATCAAAAAGCATCAGCATAAAAAGCAAATATTGTTGTTTGCCAAACACTCGGGCGATTATGTGTGCAGCGGGCTTAATAAATAATTGCAGCGGCGGTTGCAGCATCAACAGGCGCAGAGCCATTCATACTGTCAAACGCGCGCGCGCTTTTTTTCAGGTTATAATTTGTTGACAAGCACTGGAATGACAAGAAATTGATTTCAAACATAACACATAACCATAACCTAAAATATGAGTGTTTCTAACCTTAAAATCAACATTTTTACAATCTAACACGTGTTTTTACACTTTTTTTCGTTATAATTTGTTTTAAAGCACTGGATTGACTAAAAATTCATTTTGAATACAACAAAATCATAACCTAAAATTTGTTTTTGGTTATTAAAGTTATTCCTAACCTAAAAAATCATTATTTTGACATTCAAACACAAATTTTGCAGTTTTTTACTGTAATTTGTTAAAAAAACACTATTCTAACCTAAAATTTAGTTAATTCTAACCTAAAAATTAATATTTTGACATTTTTACACATTTTTTAAGCTTTTTTTGTTATAATTTGTTGAAAAATACCGAAATAACAAAAAATTAACTTTAAACACAACAAAATCATTACCTAAAATCTGTTACTTTCTATTCCTAACCTTAAAATCAACATTTTGACATTCCGACACATGTTGTTACACGTGTCGATCGTGTTTTGTTGACGATGCTTGTCGAATGCTTCGTTTTCGGGTGCGTGCGCGCCGCGAGAGGCGCGAGCACGTCTAATGTTGTGCAAACCGATTAGGCCGGATCACAATGGAATAGATTGTGTGCGCGCCGCCGCCGCCGCCGCCGAGAGTGTACGTGTTTATTGTTTGATAGACAAATTTGTACAAAGTCCAAACGATATGTCAATAGACTTTATACGCTCGTGCAACACATGTCGGGCGCGCAAGACACGACGACGCGCAGTCAAGAATAGATAATTAGTATTACAGCGCGATAACACTAGTGTGCATTAGTGCGGCGTAATGAAGAAGAATCGACAGGTTGATTGACAGACGTGATAGCCGCACACAACACATCAAATCAAGCAGCTTGTAGGTAAGTTATAAATAATTTATTTCAACTTTTCAGTTCAAAATTTCCGCTTGAAAATACAATTCCGAGAAGTTGAGTTATCACGTTTCAGATGTTTCTGCTTCTATGCTCCGTGGCAGAGTGACCCCACTCTGATGACTACTACGCATGCGTAGAATCTCCACAGGAAGGGGAACCCCCTACTGTTCCCTTCCGCTTTAGTCACGAATACGATAATCGATTTGGTTGTAGCTTTCCCCGCTACAACCAATCACTGCGCTGGCACGATGTTTGGTAACTACGGTTACGAGCTTATCGTAGTTGTGGATTGGTCGTGTGGTATCTATGACGACCCGCTGCGGGAAGCACAGGCGGGGCGTGCGCACTCCACCGCTGCTCATGTTTGGCGAGCGAGCCTAAAGCTTCGGGTACTTCACTTGGGGCTTGTAGTATCTAAGTAAACACGGGCCGAACGAGAAGTATTTGTTTTTCCAATCAGTGCTCGGTCGCCCGCCGCCAGCTAGCAACTTGTGTGTCCCACATCGCGGAATATCGTCCAAGTGCGTTCCTTCGCCGCCGCCGCCGTCGTCTCTCGGCGAGACTGTTTGTGTGGTGGTTCGTGATGTAAACAATGATACAGGATCATCTCCCGACTCCCGATCGATTATACACGCACAGCACTAGTGTTTAAGGTGACCAAATAGAGGACTATATAGAGCTGTATCTTTAAATAGTGCGCGCGCGTTGCGAAAGTGTGATTGGATTTGTCTGTGCAATGTTGTCCCACAAAGCGTACCCGGAATCGACGGTGATGTCTTCCGTGCCATCCGCATCGCGTATGACCCCAGCGGCATACTCGATGAACTGCGTCACGATGAATTCATGTTCACCACAGAGTGCAACCTTCGGCAGCGGAATGTTGAACTCAGCGGTACCAATGAGTAGCATGTCGATGAACGATAACTCAATGGCGGCCGCGGCCGCCGCCACCACCGCAATGGGTTACAGCGCCATTGGATCGCCCATTTCCAATATGAACATGCACATGCAGACCTCCAATAGTGCAATGAACGCGATGAGCGGATACACCTCATCCGTCGGCGGGATTACCTGCCGAGGTGATCCATCCGGCGGTGATGCATCACCCAACTCAGCTCTGCAACGCGCACGGGCTGAGAAAACCTACCGCCGGAGTTACACCCATGCTAAACCCCCATACAGCTACATCTCCCTCATAACCATGGCGATCCAAAACAGCCCACAAAAGATGCTCACCCTTTCGGAGATCTATCAGTTCATCATGGATCTGTTTCCGTTCTATCGACAAAACCAACAACGCTGGCAGAACTCCATCCGCCATTCTCTCTCGTTCAACGACTGCTTCATCAAGGTGCCACGCACCCCGGACAAACCCGGAAAAGGATCCTTCTGGAGTCTACACCCTGAATCGGGTAACATGTTTGAAAATGGTTGTTACCTGCGTCGTCAAAAACGCTTCAAAGACGACAAGAAGGAAATGACAAGACCATCACACAAATCACCATCACATGGGGGTATTGATAGTGGTAGCACCGGAAAGAAAACTCCTCTGCATCAACAGGATGATGCCCACAAATCACACCATTTGGATAAATCCGACGGACACCTCTCATCAATGATCCTCCAGTCCAAGTTGGACATTGATCAAATGAACTTGTTGCACCATAATGATCTGAACCAACTGCATCATCATCAGCAGCATCAGAACCTCACCCAGGAGGAGATATCCGCGATGGTTAACCGTCATCCTCTTTCATCCCTATCTGGTGATCATCAAATGTTGCACCATGGAGCGGTCAGTCATCATTTGAAGCAGGAGCCGCCGACGGGTTACACGCCACCAATGCATCCGTTCAGCATCACGCGATTGATGACTGAGTCCAAGACGGCGGATATCAAGATGTACGATATGCAGTACAATTCGTACAGCACCCTCAGCCCGCTCTCGAACAGCGTGCACACGCACTCATCGATAGGCAACGATTACTACAACTCTTCGCTGTACCACACCTCCGCTGCGGGCACGACCAGCTTGTGACATCAGTATCCGCTCGCGTAATCGCGATTTCGGATCTAACCAGTGAAACTAACAAGCGGATTTTCGAAAGAAACGCAAGACTTTTGGTTTACGTGTGCGTTGTTTTCTCTAAACTTATAATAACTCCTGGGCGTTGCAATCCTCGTCGTCGATGTCTCCTCACATACTACGATATTGTTCACATGCGCTACTCTCGATTGAATTGAAAATTGAAAATTGAAAATTCGGTTTATTAACTTTGAAAAGTGTTTTGGATGCGTGCAACGTGCAATAATAATCCACGAATATTAAAAAATTAAAATTATAAAAAACTTGATTTTTTCGCCTCCCAAAATGTGATAGGTTTGTTTTCGGACGACGACTCGACGCATTCCTTTGTGTACATAAAAACCACCACCCTTTAGATATATGAAAATATAAATAAATATAGATATATTATATTATAAAAATTGCAACAACAAGAAAAACTAATTACAAATATTTATATACGGTTTAAGCATCAACAACAACATCAGAAAAAAACGAGTGTTGAATTTTGTTTCTTTTTTTTTCAACTAAAAACAAAATAAAACGCTAAAAACTCGAATTCTTTTTTTAGGTTATGAATCTGCTTGCTATTTGATTTTTTACGTTCGAATGCTTTTTTTGTTTTGTTTTTTATTGTAAATACGTTTCGAGGCGAAGTGAAAAAGAAACATGTGCAACTAACGAACCAAAACGCAACACACAATTGTAAATAAATTTCCATTTGAATTGATATGATGCAGAATGCATTCATTCACACACACACACACAGAAAACAAGAAATAAAAATGTAAGAAATATCGATGCGTTGGGCGGCCATTTTGTGACCTCCGCGCGCATACATGCGTCCCTGTGGGCGATTTAAATTTAATTACGAATAAAGAAATAGTTAATTATTATTGTACTATATGTACTTATATGTATTATATTTACTTTTTGTCACAAATAAATGTTTCAATGAATCTTTGAGAAAAAACAATGCCTAGCAATTTTTTTAATTTCAAAAAACTTTAAATTTCAGCTGTCAATTGTAACATTTGTGTCAAAATGTCGGTGTTGTAAGATTATCGTGCGGTTATTCAATGTTTTTGATGGAAATTTTCAATTATTTTCATTTGCCCACCTTGCAAAGCACTAATATCTCTCGGGAAGCTGAGATGGACGCAAAGGTGGGCCATATGTTCGTGAGCGTGTGCGTCGGATACATCACGATGTTGATCATCACGGCGGCCATCTTGTGGTATGTGATTCACGTGTATCAACGCAGTTATGCGCACGCCATCGCTGATGAACTCTATCGGAAAACTTTCAGTCTTGTTGTGAGTGTTTTAAGATATTAAAAGAAAAATTTCAACAAAAAATAAAATTTTTGTTTAATTCCAGCCAAATTATGAGATTTTCTACTCGGAAACAGATAGTAACACGAGTATAATTCGAAGAAAACGTCGAATATTGCTTCCATCCGTTCAAAATTTCACACAAACTGAAAGTGAGTGTCAAACAGAAGGAAATTTACATGTTGATGCAATGTACAGTCGATTGATGCAATACAGACTGACTGATAAAAACATCGATAAATTTTTATGCGGATCGAATAATCGCAGTATTCTATGCGTCAATTCATCAGACTACATGAAGAAATTTTGAAACAAATTCACAGTGTACTCGTAACTCACCGCTTGCAATTTTAAAAATAAAAATTTGTAAGTTTATGAGTGTTTTATTGCAATTACAACGGAAACAATCACCAATCGAGTTTACAAGTGTGTTTTTACTCAAATTCAAGTTACTCATACACTCTAATCAAGTATCAATTGTGTCTAATAACCAAAAAACCCGCATTTTATATAACTTTGACCTATTTATAGATAAAAATACAAATCTATTTATAATTTTCACTCGCTGCGAAAATATTTGAGTTTAAACCCAGCACACATTGCGTTTTTATTTTTATTTCCCCTTTGGCTTTTGCTTTATGTAAAGAACAAACATTTAGTTATACTTAAAGTTTAAGTTTCGAGTGAGAACATACAAACAATCACTCATACACATTCACATTCCCACACATACAGAGAATGTGTGCAATGCAATTTGACGTTACTTACGAATATGTTGTTTATTTGTTTATTAATATAATTCAAAATTCAAACACGCATTAGCTACGTTTATATGTAGATACGAGTAGATCTGGTGGTATAGTTGTGTGTGATTTTGTTTTTCTTTACTTGTACGAGTTTTATTAGTAAGTTTAATAATAATAAAACAATAGAAATGTATGTTCAGTGTGTGTGTGTGTTTGGATTGATGAATGAGCCACTGAACGCGTTTGTTTATTCTGTTTACGGTTTATTTTGTTTATTAATCGTTACGCTTCTATTATGTCGATTGTGGAGTCGTTTAAAAGTGTCAACAAATTAAGACAACAATCTATCTAGTGGCTCAAATGCGTTTACGGTAAGTATTAAGCGTTTAAAACACTTGAAACCAACATTTTATCATTGATTCAAATTGATTTTATTTTGTATTCTGAAATAATTAGGTTTTTTCTACTGGCACCTTTAAGGTGACTGTTTTTTCACTGTTTTTAGATACAAAGAGTGAGTAAAGTACTTTAGTCATGGGTTTTAGTAACGGGTTGCAGTTTACGCATGCGCATTTGCCAAAGGTGTGAGAGAATTTCCAAGATTTAAAATTCAAAAGTTGAATTACAAAAGCTCAACATGGAAATAGAGTGAAAGTAGAAAAGGTATCGTAAAAGTCACGTGACTAAGAGTTATTAAACACTCGCAACACTCGCCCTCATCAATCTTGTGAGTAAAGTCCTCGTTTAGCCACTTGATACTTAATATACCTACTATTTTGTTAATTGTTTAAGTTTTATTCGTTATAATGATTAATATCTAGATTTAGACTATTTGGAGGAACGTGCCAAACACGAAACGAACAAGATCACCATTAATGGCATTAGTGAAATGACCATTGTCCATTCCCATTCGTGTCAGAAGGCACGAATGTCCTCGAAGGGTCGAAAATCACTTCGTGTCTGGGTGTAATCAGTAAAATCAATAAAATAAAAAATAACAAGTTTTACAAAGCGAAAAAAATACTATCTAGCTATTTATTGAAAAATATCAATAAAAAATAATTCAAGGTTTTTTTTCCTGTTGATAAACTGACTCAAAAAACATAAATAACTATTTATTGTCATTTATTATCTGATAAAAATACAAACCGTGGAATTTATGTCTATTATTAGTTAAAAACATCTAATTGCAGTTTGTAAAATGTAATATTTCGTGAAATTCAATATGAAACTCGGAGTAAATTTTATGAAATTGTGTTGTGCTGCCATTGCGAAAGTCCTCCGCGCTGCCCTAGCAATCCCGGCATTGGCAGCAAGGGCGATGGCGGCGGCGGCGGCGGATCGGGCGCCGTTATTGACGCCCGCGGGGCGAAGCACATGCGCGCTTTATTGCCGTCGCCCCCGCATGCCACCGCCTCTGCCGTCGCCGCCACCGGCATAGCCGCTACGTGCGCACAGCGCGCACACACATACCGACACTCGCTCGTACTCGCTAAATGTACACAGATTTCGTAATAAAATTGCGTCATAAAGTGTTTGCCGCGTTTAAAAATAAGCGAAAAATGCAAACATGACGTGAAAGCGAAATTAATGCGGTCTAGTTGGATGCGTGCACGCATAGGTGGCGCATGAGTTATTTAATTATACAATAAACAAATAAGAACAACAAGAAGGGCATAAAATGGTTGTTAGGTTGAAGAGTGGCTAGAATATGAACAAAATGGAGTTGTACAAGTTTTACCTTGGATTTAATTGAAAAATGTTTCTATACAACAAAAATATTAAGAAATTACCTATAACAAAAATAAATTAAATGAAAATTTTTTTTGCTATAGTTTGATATTTTTGAGCATTTTCATTGCTTATGCAGGGAAAATGATGGTATTTCATAGTCTGAGAAAGAAAAAAAAAATGATTTTTTTCATTTTTACAATTATTTTAAGACCAATTGACATAAATAAATTAATAACAATTAATTTTACCCTGGATTGTTAATAAAAAGATGCTTATGAATGAGTTAAACAAATATAACATGAATTTCCGGTGCAATTTTTGTTAAAAATTATCAAAAAACTCAAAAAATCAACGAAAAACTCGAAAAAACTACAAAAAATATTTTTTTCTTCGTTAAAATAATAAAATCCTTCGATAACATCTCAATTTCCTGTTTCTATCTATAAATACTCCCGTTTATTGTAACCCCATTAAAATATTTGTATCATTTGCTACATATGGAGATTTAAAACGCAACAATACAATAAGTAGCGACTAATAACCTAACAATAGAGCGACTAAACTGGCGGTAAACTACCCCCTGGTCCGACGGCACCCACCACAACAGCACGAGACGACGCCGGCAACTACGACACGATCAAACGGAGGGCGCAAAACCAAATCCGCATCGCGACAACATAATAATGGTCACACAATCACGAGACTAGTGTGTGCGGACCGCCGAGCATTACGCATTCAATTCGACACGCACCCTCCACCTTCCACCGGCAACCACCCCATGTATTACACGCAATTCTCGCCGGGTGAGCGAATTAATTGTGGAAGGAAGACCAAACGGGTAAGAATTAACCGGAAAAATAAAAATTGTCTTCGGTATTCAATACGTAATCGATAAAAATTTTTTTTTATATTTTTGTTTAATTAAACGTGATTTACAGTTAAGATTTTGATTTAATTTTTTGATAATGACTTCAGGGTGGTATTTCACATTTAATTAAATAAAAATATTGCAAAAAACAACAAAATTAACACAAAAAATGCAGAAAATAAATTTAATTTGTGTTTTAGAAATTAAAATTGCACATGTGTTTAATATTATTTAACCCAATGATAATAATACACCCGTAAATCGCATTAAAACGTATTAAATCCCCACCGCGCAGATTTCAACCTGTCGTCATTGCACATGCCACATCCTACATGCTCGAAGGGTAGTTTTAATCACCGACAATGAGCTTTGACGCGTCGCTTTCACGCACGGTGCACTCTGCGCGCCGAAAGAAAACATTTGTTCGAATCGAGAGAAATATCAGCGAAAACGCCGCCATATGGCCAAACTCGCAAACGGAATTTTATTATTTAATCACGGACGCATAACGCCGCGTGTTACATTTTTATCTGTCCGCATCATACCTACAACATGTAGCTATATGTGTATTTATGTGTGTGTATTACGTGTTGCTGTGGCTGCCCTTTCGTTTCAACGATTGAGGGAACATAATCAGCACGATAAAAAGTGATAAAGCGTAAAAATCTGGTTCGTTATTCACGAAAGGGTGGGCTGAACATTTTATTAGCTAAATTCATTTAACTTATGGTTAGGTAAGTGACATTTGAGGTTATGACATGTGTTGAAAGTCATAAATCGTTGGTAATTGATATAAAAATTTTTAGATAAAGAAAAATACAAAGGAAAATAAAGTATAAATTAGATATTTGTGTTTAAATTAAAATAAACGCATTTATATTTAATTTTTAGTCGAATTTTGAAAGAAAATTTTTTTTACTACAGAAATTTCTTTAAAAATTTATCAGAAATCATGAAAAACTTAATTTTTTGGCATATTTTCCTCTGAATATCTGCAAAATATTTTATTTTCCTAAAAAATTGAAACTTTTACATCTAAAAATTGTAAAAAATACTTTAAAAAATATAAAAACGAACGTTTTCATTGCATTTTCCAGTCGATTTCGTCCGATTTGCTTCATTAACGTCTGGCGATAAAGAAAAAAGTCGTCATCAGACTATGCAAATCCAAAGAAGCCAATAAGTGTTAATTCAAGTTAAGAAAACGAGTGTCAAAGTGTATTGACTCCCGCCGCGTTAACTTTTTCTCCTGCTTTTTTTCTCCTTCTTTTCTTTTTCCTGTACCGAACAGGAAAATCGACAGAAATTAATTGAGACGTTCGATGATTTGCATCGCAATTGGCGACGTCGATCACGAGGGCAACGCACGAATGACTTCTGATTACTCTAATCGACGTCATAACGAATTCAACTCAACCCACACCCGAAAAAAGAATAAAACAACCAAAAACGAAACAAAAACGTCAAGAAAAAAAACGCGAATTGAAATTAATTGCACGTAAAGTAATTAATCACTTTGGTAATTCTATGGCAATTCTTAGATAGATAGGTAATTGAACGATTTGTGTCTGGAAAATTTCCAGCGTACTTTTGGCGAGTGCTGTACCTCGATTCCTGTTTTAATCATAATAACATTATACACCTATACGGATATTGCATGTGTGTGTGTGTGTGTTGGAGGCAGCGTGGAGAAAAATACGAAATGTGTCAAAAAACGCCGGCAGAGCGACGCGAAGCGCCGAGATAAGAACCCGGGAAACGCCCGACGCAAAAGGTACAAACGAAAAAACGCCCGCAGAACGTCGTGCACAACAGAAACAACCAACCCATGATGGTGGGAAGATGAAGCGAGACGCGCACACAAAGTGCGAAGCGAGTGAGAGGCCGTGGGACCGATATGTCACCGCGAAGCAAGGCGTAATCTTATCAGTCGCCGACTGATAATGGTAAACATTCAACGGCGAGAGGAAAACGTTTAAAAAACCATAGCAAAGGAGTGAAACTAAACGAAAATTTAACATTCTACCTAAACTACAAAACAATTTGTTTAAAATATTACATCAGAGACGTAAAATTTGATTATTTAAAGCGCAATTTGTTTAAAAATTAATTTTATGAACAAAAAATGATTTTAAGGTTATTTTAGTGTTTTTAATGCTTCAAAAATGATGATAAACTAAGTTTTACTCAAGAAAAAACTCGAAAAAATCGTTTTTATGGTGGATTATTGTTTGAAAAACTAAAGCAATCGATCCACATGAATAAAATTCAACACAAACGCAAAACCTAAGCATTTATGTTGGTGGTCGTTGTTGATATCGCGGGTTAGAGGGCTGAAAGGAGGTCCTCGAGTGCTCGAGTTCTTTCCGAACGCCGGACGGATGAATAATAACACTCGATCATCTGGCTTTGTTCATTATTTCGCCGCGTTGCGGCGTGCAAGTGCTTTTATTCGAGCCTTCAACCATTCATTCTTTTATTCCATCGAAATCATCTGGAAAAGCTGCGATATGAGACGCTAAACGTCAAACCAGACGCCACAAACACGCCATCTGGCGAAAAAAGATTCCTCAATACTCAAGACTCTCCAAACAATAAAAACGAAAGCAATATCTATTAAATAACCTAACCTAACCTTAAAAAATCACCACCACTCGATAGTTGAATAATCTAACCTCTAAATAATTTTTGCGTGCGTTTTGCGCCCGCAAATTTGTTTGTATAATGTGCGTTTTATGAGTTTGGTGCGCTACGCGCCGGTTGCATTATGATATGTACAAATAATTAATCTGTTTGCGCGGCGAGTCCGTCACCTAATTAAATCTGCTTAATAATAAATAAATAACGCACACATACACGTTTGTCTCGACGCAACTCGACTGTGCGATGTTTGCACGCCATCTATGTGGCATTTGTTTGTTGAAACATCAATAATATTTGTGTTTTGTTTTGTTCTGTTTGATTCGGCGTGCGTTATTTGTTAATAAACACGTTTACATTCACCGTAGCGAATTACACGCGATAAACTTTTCCCAAGATGGCCGGCGTATGATGCATTGTCTTAAACATACCTGTCACGTCTCATCAGGAATCATCATCATCAGGCGATTCTGAAATGGAAAAAATACTAATTAATTGTTTGTTATTAAAAAAACAATTTATTAAATCAAAAAACACAAATACAAGTCTGGAATAATATTTAATGGAGATTAACAATTTGCGACATTGTTTGGTTTATCGTATTGGCAACACTGTTAATATTTTGATATAAAAAATAAATGTTTAGTTTTGTATTGTAAAAAATTTCTAAGCGCATTTGCATGTTTACGCATTGTTTCTTCAATTGTCGTTTGTTTGAGTTGTGATGGCGTCATTTTAAATTTCCGGCGTGTGAACAAAAAATTCTCCTTTCCTGCTTGGTTTGAAATTTTTGTTTCGGAAATCGTCAAATCGTCAAATGTTAGGAAATCCCGATATGTACTACGGATAGTTGCGCAAACAACGCAGCCAACTGCAAACTGCGAGCTAGAAAATTATGCAAATATTTGACGAAACAAATGAAACATAAAACAAGCCGAATATGAACAAGGACAATCGAGAGAATCAATTCAAACAGCAGAAAATAAGAAAAAAACCAAGTGTGAAATAGTAATTCACAACGATGTTAATTATTAATGATTCTGTGAAAATTCAACACTTAAATCACTAATGAATCAATAATAATTCAAAAAAATTTCAAACACACATCAATTATTTTTATTATAATTAAATTAATGTAATAATATAATATTGAATGTAACATTTGACCTGGGGCGTTTTATTTTTAAACCTCCGACCTAATACATGATACATGACGTGACATAACCTATGCGTGTTCGCGTTCGAAAGTTGGAAAGTGAGGTTATCACAGTGTGGGGTGGCCGGACGTAAAATTACGCAATGAATAATTGAAACCCTGTTGCATATTGCAGCGCGCGTTCGGGGTTAAACACTGACTGAATTGACTGGGTCGGCCGTGAGCCACCCCCCCAAAACCCCGCAGCAGACCCCTAGGAGGTTCTCGGACTACAAACGTCGGACACGCGATGTCCGTATGCTCGATATGTTCAATATTCACTTGCAAAGTTGCCGGGTGGAAAAATTCGCGTGTTACGTAGCATAAGTACCTACAAAACGTAAAAAAATACGAAAGCGTTAGAAATTGTTTAACTAGTAATTATGCACTATAAATGCTAAGAGATGAAAAAGTGATGATTTTTGGTTATGTTTATTAAGTTGCCTATGTTTATATTAAAAAATTGGAAGAACATGTTAGGTTTTTTTAACAATGTGAATCATTTTAAGAAAATTTTATCGTTTTTATCAATTTTCAAGATTTTTCTGATTAACTTCTCTATTTTTTATGAAAATCTATTGATAGAACTTACTAAAATATATTAAATAATACTTTAAATCGTGTGATACTAAAAAAGTAGAAAGTTTTGGTTATGTTTAATGAGTTGCCTATTTTAGTATTAAAAATTTTGTAGAAAATGTTGGTTTTAATAGCAATGTGACTGATTTTAAGGAAATTTAAATGTTTTAATCAATTTTAAAGCTTTTTCTGAATAAATTTTCTGTTTTTTTTTTAATGAAAATCTGATTAGAAAAACTCCCTAAAATACAATAAAACGTGAAAAACCCTAAAATCATCAAGTAACGTTAGAAATTGTCTAATACTATACCCAAATCGCATTAAAATTGCAATTTCTAGTTATTATTATGCTCTATTAATTCGAGAAGCTCAAAAATGCAAATTTTTGGTTATGTTTAACAAGTTGTCTATGTTAAAAATAAAAATTTTGTAAAAAAATTATGTTTTTATACCTACATGAATGATTTTAAAGAAAATTTTAATGTTTAAATCAATTTTCAAGCATATCCTTCAAAACTTTTGTGCTTTTCATGAAAATCTAATAATAAAACTCCCTAAAACTCCATTTGCAAGACTCCTATATCCTATACACCCGAGCACAAACTTCCACCTACGCTCAACGTCTAGTTTTTCCACCAGTCATTCACTATAGGGCAGAGGCAGGAATAAGGGAGGTCTACACGCGCGTCGTCAAGATGAAAGACGTTCGCTCCCAAGCCGCCGCCACCGCCGCCGCCTTTCTATTCGTTTTCGTTCGCATATGCGTCGCGCTCGGCTCAGAATTTCCGTCATTTCTTCGCCGGGCGCACGCCTTGAAAAGGAAGTTGCTGAAAGCGAACCGGCGGCGGCGGGGGCGGCTTTGTATCCGGCCTAAACATATTACTTTTCGAACAATATATTCGCGCACATACCAGCTGGAAACGCGAAATCAAATTGAAAATAAAAAAATAAATGCAAAATTCGTTGCATTTGCAACTTAATATTTAGTATTAAATATCACATCGGTTTTATTCATTTATTTTTTATGCGTGTGTTTGATGTAAACATGTCAAAAACGAATAAAACAAATGTCACTGGTATAATTGCAATGTGAGGCATACGAGGAGTGAACATATGTCCAACTGTTTCGCTTGTTATCAGTTGATTTGTAGCCGGGATTGCGACGTGATTTAATAACGTTTAATGTTGGTAATGTGCGTCCACCCACCCCGTGGCCGCGCGGCTTTATCGCGTTTTACGACTTGAATGCTTTCGTGAGCACCACCCTGGTCACGCTCATTGACAGTTCAAATTGTGTAATGAAATTATTTCTCGCGCTTCAATAATTCCACAATCAAAACAAAAAAAATCAAAAAATAATTTATTTTGGTTTCTAGCAAAAGAAAAATAATAGTTAATAAGATGCAAATCCTCTGAAATAAAATAAACACTTGTTTCCCAAACACGGCACCCTCGCATCACTCACACCCCCCTTAGGGGATGAAGCTGGTGTGCGTGTGTGTGGGATGGTAGGAATCGTCGAGCACCGGATTGAATTTTATTAGCCGGAGATTTGTTTCAATCATCCGAGCGCATACGTTTATTGCGTGCGCCCTCAGGGGGTGCGAACGTGCGTAAGCACCACCAGGCAGCAGTTTTGGCAAGGTCTTAAGCCGACGATTGTGCGTTCATTACGCGCGAAGCCTTCGGGGCGTAAATCTGGCCAATACAAATTACATCTATATCTGATGCGCCCCCGCGTGACCTCCACATCCACATGTACGCTAAGCTGCAGTGAAAGAGGGTGACTTGGATTCTTATTGCTCATAAACGATTTCACCACCACCAGCACCACCGGCGGCGGTGTGAACAACTGGCAATTGTCGGAGATCATGAAATCATCACATTCAATAGCAGTTTGACAGATGACAGTTTACAGTTGACAGTTGACATAACCTCACATTATTATGTATTTTATAATATTTAACCTGATATCTTAACTTTTGAATTGTGAATAGGTTATGTTGGATTAGGTTCAAGTTTTTGTAGAAAAGTATAGCAGTTATATTTGAAAATGTAAATATTACCTCGATTAATATTTGTTTTTCCTATTATTGTCGTGAATGCGTCAAACAAACTGTGCTTTTGCACACAATCACATCGTATACACACATACAGTGACAAGTTTTTACGGGTGTAGTGGTTCTACTTAATCACAAAACAAAACATCAGTGCTACTATTTTAATGTCAATGATTTAGTAACTAAATATGTAAATATGTAATACTAACCTACAAAATGGGTCAAAATATGATTATTGTGGTTTTGAAGAGAATTAAATCCCATAATCTCATTTGTATAAATAAATTTAGATTGGTAATTAGTAAACTTTTGGGTTTTTAAGAATAATTAAGGTTAAAACTCCTTAAAATCTTAAAAAACTGTCAATTTTATGCACTTTTGAGGTTAAATACACCTCATAACCTAATTTTTAGCATCAAAATCATACCATTATCTATAAAATATATCTAGCAGCAGTTTTTGCTTTACATACCCACAATTTATTTACCCCCACCTGTAAAAACACAAAATAAAACAATTTAAACAAATTTTTCAATAAAAATCTAACTTTCCTCACTTTTTAACCTTCAAATAAATCACTTAAACACTTAAAAAACCACTCTCTAATAAAGTCATCTCATATCACCCCTTATTCCCAATATAAAACCAGAAAATGTATTAATGGCAGGTGGAAAACGAGCGATGAAATGAAGAGTGTTCCATGTGCACCTCCCCCATCGTAAGCGATTTTTCAATAAACGAAATGAAATCAACTCACCCTCTACTCTCTCGTGTGCGTCTCGTGCAAGCATCAATACACGTACGTACGCCCGCAACGCGCATAAAAGCGCATTGAATGCATCAACAATGAAAACGAAACGCAACCGACGTTCAGTACTCCACTGAGCGACGAAGAAAAACACAAGGAGCGCATGGTGGGAAACGTAATAAACTTCGATAAGGAAGAGATGAGGTCACACACTCACAAAAAACATCCCACAGGAATAAGTATAAAGAAAAGCAAGTACAGCGGTTGCCTAAAAACGCTCTCAGTGAAAATACATTTATAAGTCGACCTTCTGAATGAAAAATTTGGAAAATTGTTCATATCACCAAGATTTACCAATGAAAAATTACAAATTTATGTTAAATAACAAGTTTAATAGTCAATAAATAGTTGTAAATCATAAAATTTGTAAAAATCCTTCTTAAAGTCAATGAAAATCGCCTTTGAATTTTGAAATTTTAAAAATTTTGTTAAAAAAGGTAAAAATTAAGGTTATGTGAATGTGTAACGTACATAACCACAAAATTTACGACTAGAAATAGTTGATTCTCTCCAGCGCAATCTGGCAAGCGACGATGTGAGGGATGAAAGTGGGCACGCGCCCTTGTTTTCGTTCGTACACACTACACAGGGCCGCGTGCCAGCCGATTGTTGTTTCGATTGCACGACGGACGTGATTTCCACGTTGTTCGCGCGCGGCTTTGCGCGCAAATCCTCGCGTAATGTACTTTAAGTGAAAACTCCACCGCTCTCCGAGACGCAAAACACGTGATGCGTAATTTATACAACAAGATTAAACGAAAACAATCTCAAAAACTTACAAAAATATTACAAAAAACACAAAATAACCTAAAATAACCTAATAACTGT